GCTATTTATATGGTTCTTGATAACATAAGTTAAAGAATTCATCCCAGGCAAAGAGTGGGACTGCTATTTAGTTGACAAGAAGAACTTCTCTTAAAGAATAGCTAAAAATACATGTGGTTTTGCAAATGTCACACGTAAAGGTGAACTAAAATCTAAGCTTTTTCAGAGCAGGGTTTGATGCTGTATGTTTCCTCTGCCAGAACTGATCATTAGCACCAAGAAGTCCAATCTGGTGAGGGGGATAAGCATCTGCTACAAGATACAAAGTACCCACTCTCATGTGACAATGAAAAAAATCACAGTAAGAGTCACTTTCTTCTAACACCCTATGAGGAATTCTGAGAAAAAGTGTTGTTTTTAATTCATCTCTCCTCTCTCTCTGTTTACTTCAGCCTGGAGTTCCTCTCTAGAACCTCATCCTAGGCTCCTGCTACATATATATAAATATATTACACCTAGCCTTAGACTTTCAATTTTTATTGATTCAGTAGAAACTGAGAACTCTGACCATCTCACAGACCTGGGGACATATGATGGCATTGACCTCAAAGGCTCAAAATTGGAGTCATTGCTGGCACAAAATTTTGTTGAAATAAAGGACTATAAGGTTAGGAATTAACTGTAATATGTTTTAGTACCTAAATAGAGAAGGTTATGTTTTATTTTTATTGTTGTTGTTTTAAAATTCTCTATGTAACCATTAAACATGTAAGACACTCTTATCATAGAAGAAGTATGTACAGGGTATGAGTAAGTGCAAAAACTCTATGGAAACTAGGGAGGATGTAGGGCAGGGGTGTCAAACTCATCTGGCCCCACAGGCCAGGTAAGTGACACAGGCTAAATCATGGGTCAGATGGACTCCCTCATCTTGCTCCACCTGGTCTGGGACCCATGCAATCTGCCCCAGGAAGACAGTGCTACACAGGGTGACTGCTCTGGGAACTGCGCCACACCTGGTGCCTGCTCCAGCTGGTCTGGGACCCACACTGCATATGGCACTCATAGGCATATGTGCAGCATGGATCCTAGACTGGCTAGAGCAGGCTGCATGTGAGGCACAGTCCAGGAGCCACCAGAGTAGGTGTGATTTGCAGCCCACATCTTGGAGCAGGTACCACACACAGCCCAGGCCTGCTGGGGCAGGCACCATGGGTAGCACACCACCAGCTCTGGCCAGTCTGGGATCCGGGATCCACACCCTCAGCTGGACTCACAGGTCCTGTCTAGGCCAGTTCCTGTCTAGGCCACTCCAGGATCCATGCCAGATACAGCGTGGGACCCAGACCAGCTGGAGCAGCTGCTGGATCAGACATGCTGGGGAAGGGGGAAAGAGGAGGCGTTCTGTGGGCCCAATCCAGACCATCGACCAGTTCCACACCATGCCCCTTGTGGTTCTTTCAGATGTAGGGGCAGTTCAGGGCCCAGATAGTGGGGCTCCATAAATTGGATTCAGCCCATAGGCTGTATGTTGATGACCCCTGATGTAGGGTGTCTATATATGGTACTCTAGCCTTTGGGTCCAAGAAGAGTGCCCTTACCTGCAAATGGGGAGCTTATAGCAACTGAACACTCATAGCTCTGTACATTGTGGCTATAACAATGTGTCTCCAAGTCCCTGTGGAGAAATACCGTAATACTTCTGTGCTGCAAATTCTATAATTGCTAGTGAGTTGGTTGTATTTCAATCCTAATGACTTTTATGGGGACTTGAAACAACCTTTTAAAATAATTTTATTTCCAGGATTTTAGTTTGCATTCAAACTTAAACATAAAAAGTTATTCCATGTTTCTAATAATTCTCATCACCCTTCTCTGACCCCATTATAATTCTGCAATATTCTTACATCAAAAAGTGCATAGCAAACACAGCCTTCTGAACAGTTACTTGTCTTCAAATAAAATATGTATTAAGATAGTAAATTCTAATATGTTTATTTTACAATATATCAAAGCACCGAGAAACTGGAAAATTGAAGATATTAGCTCAACTTGCCAAGTACCAATCTTTCTTACACATTTTTAAAATGGTCTCTTTTGGTCATGAATTAAAAAACAATAAAATTATTTCAGCCTTTAGTTGCATGGACAACAATATTAAGGCATCTCTATCAAAAAGTCTCAAACACATAAACAAATTAAAAGTGAAAATTAGTTCTAGAAGCTCTCTCCAGAAAAGTAAATTCTTTTTATTAATATTCATAGTTCAATAGACAGCCAGAACATGTGGGAAAGTCCTGTTACATTGTTCAGCAGAACAGATAGGCATGTCATATTTCTATTGTATTTTATGATTTATAAAAATTGTGAGTGTCCCATCATGCAAGTATTCTGGTCCCTTACTTAGCTTAGAATGATTCTAAGAAAATACAGGACTTTCTAATGCCTTCCTGGTTTTACTGTGGTAAGTAAAAGAATTAAAGTTAAACAGTTTATTTCATTTAGTAGATACTACATTTTATAATCTACTTTCTCCACTAACAAAATCATACTGAATTTCTACAAAAGACAAGTATTTTAGTCCAAAAAAGCACATTATGCACTTGTCAACCCTCACACCATTCACCTTCTGCTTGTGTTTTTCACCTACTGTCTTTGTGCTGTCTTAAAGAAAAATGCATGTTCTTTAGAGCAGACTTGCTTTTATTCCTGTTGTAATAAGGATATAAGTTGATTAAAAAGTCTAGGCTTTACTCCAATACAAATAAAAGATGTTATAAGGTAGTAGAGAATAGTTAAATTAAAAAGTTTCAAAGCAGGAAGAAAGCTTCTGAACAGTAAACGAATAGTTTTTGTTGCTTATAGAATCAATTCACTGTAAAAAAGGATAAGATGCCATATTTATGGAGATGTAATACGAAATATGAAATAGAGATAAGAAGATAAGCTGATTTGAAGTGAGATGAAACAAAACTATTGGAAAGGTACAATATCATGTGTCCATGATGCAGACCACAGGCAACCTGCAACAGAGTTCAAGACCAATAGGGAGACTAAAAAAAAAAAAAATCAAACATTGTGGCTCCAAAACTTCCCCAGAGAAGCTCTTTTCAGATTTACAGCCTAATTCTAGGACACAATAATAAAAATTATTCATCTCAATGAATAATTCTTACTCAATTTTAGGTGTTTATCTTGCTCTGAAATGTTCCAATTTTATTTGAATCTAAATCAAGTACTAGATTAGTAATACTTTAAAGATGCTGGAGAGAAAAAGAAGAATTGAGACCTTTTTCACTTTAAGTGGCTAAATATTCTATTAAATACCAGCAAATGAAATAGTCATATACATTTCCAGTTAAGCTGTACCAAATGTTTGTTTAAAGTTAACAACTTAAATGTAACTATAGTTGTCTGGTACCACAGTATTTTGATCAACATGTGTGCTTTCCTGCAGAATTGACTTAGTTGGAGACAGTACTATTTTACGGCAGAGTAAGCGTGACGAAATGGACATGTAGATGGTGACAAGAGCTGGTTGGGGCATGAGGGTGCTACAGTACAGGAGCTGCCTGTTGCACGGCTCTGCACACTGGGCATTCTCGTGCCCCAGCCAGTCCCTCCACCACCTGAAATCCAGGACTAACTTTCCAAGCCTGCTGCCAGCCCAGGGCTGTTCTGCCCTAGTTCAAACTGCTGTTGACTCAGGTGCATGTGCAGACACTGCACCTGAGAACAGTTTACACAAACAGCTCCTGATTTTATTGTGTCATATTAATTGAATGTGTAGATGTACCCACTGTGGTTCCGATTCCAACCCTCTACAAATTCTTATGTTTGGATCAGAACTTTGGGTTTAGATCAAAGTTGTCAAACATACACCCTTGGTTTAGATTCATCTATGCATGTAAATTTATATCAATAACTACTACCTGGTGACCAAGGATCTATCAATCCTTCAAACGAGTAATTCATGCGAGTAGTCTCAATTTATTTTGTAGTACTACTGCACTTATTAAAGTTCCTTGTGTAGATTAAAGCTGGTCAGAAATTTTCCAACAGAACAGATTTGTTGAAAAATGTTAGTTCACTAAAATGTTTTCATAGATTTCACAGACATTAGGGCTGGAAGGGACCTCAGGAGATCATCGAGTCCAGCTCCCCGCCCGAGGGGCAGGAAGTCAGCTGGGGTCGTAGGTTTTATTCAAAATCTCTTTGGTTTGACGAACCTTAACCAAGTTCAAGGTAGGGCTCTCACTGAAGATAATGACATTGAATTACTGAATAATACAAAACTCAATTTTATGATATTATCAGACCAGAAATACCTTTTTAAATGTATTCAGGATCTTTTTACAATGTTTGAAAAAATTTACTTCATTTTTTAAATTGTAAGCTACCTAAAAGGCAATATGGAATCAATCCTTAAGCAGAATCAGCATGCAACAGCATGCATAAAAAGAAAAAGCAATGTAAATACATTTTAGTCTTTGAACTAAAAATACTGGGGCGGAGGGGTGTTATAGTATGTCAGATAAAGGTTGTTGAGGATCCACAATAGCGGGAGAAATGAATACCTGAGGCTGAAAGGGAAAAGGTTAGGGAAAACTAAGAGTGAGAATCATCAAAACAAACTTTGTGGCAGTTGAAAAACAGAAGCTTATAAAAAGGTTCTTAGAGGAGGTATAGAGTATGCATGAAGTATATATTCAAGATTGGGGCAGAATCTGATCTCAGCTATTTGCATGTACTCTCAGCAGTCTTTTACCCTCTATAAAGATCAGTATTAGGAAGTAGCTCAGACCCCTGTTGACTATTAAATGCTCTGTTGAATAAGATATTAGAATGAAAGATCATGCATAATGATGTTTGAATCATGTTTTCCCTCTTCATCCCTTGTCTTAAACCTCAGTGGGTCAGACTAGCCCCTCAAGAACTGTCGGAATTTCTCTATTTCTGAAAATCTTTAATTAATGATTTTGTCAAGTGCGTACAGAGACAAGGCTGCTGTCTTAACCTGTGAATTTAATTTATCATAATAATATAGAAACCAGCAAAACAATGTTTCATGATTTTATTGGGTCTTGTTCAGTCTTAAGTTGCTAGGTACAATGCCAGTAACTCTGGCGGTTGCACTGCAGTTCTGTTGTCACTAAAAATAGTTACAGCTTCAGTAGCCATGCCTTACACAAAAAACTGCATGCAAACAACAGTGTTTCATAAAAAACGGACATCTTTTTTATTCATAAGAGTTATATACAATTCTGTTTTTTTCAGCTACTACTGGTTTAAACTAACTACGAAACCTGAGAAGCTTAAATATCAAGTAACACTGCTCTGTTGGCAAATAAAATTAAATGGCACTGTTAATCACAAATAAATTGGATTTACTCAACAATAGCAAATCACATAGAACAACAGAAAAATAAACATTTTCACATACTCACATGAGACACAATATAGTCCAAATTCACAAAAAATAGCCTATGAATCACAAGTTTTATTCCGTCATATTAGTTTGAAATTATGATGAAATACAATTACACCCCAGACATAATATTCTGTAACAGATGCAGATGAAGCAGTCAAATTTTCAATAGTGTCTAAAACATCTGGAATTAAAAATAATACAATAAACATATGAGCAGCAAAATGTTGCTAGTTAACAGCTGTACTGTAGTTAAGTTTTTCTTAGTATTTTTAGAATAGCTTTCATGTGAAGGGCAAATTCTTCCCTCAGGTACACATGCAAGATTCTTACTGAATTACGTGCACAAAAGCAGCATAGTTTATATAAATAGGTTGAGAGAGTCACTCTCCTGAGTTCCAATCCCATCTCAGTTGCCGATTAAATGTTTGGCCCTGGGCAATTTGCTTTACCTCTCTCTGTCAGCTTTTTCGTGTATACATAGGGATAATTTACCTAACTCAGAGGGACAATGATGTTTGTATAATAATGTACTGAACACGTAAACCATTATGTATCATTAGTGCTGTAACTTCTGTAGACATTACTGGAAATTGTGGAAACACACGAACTCATAAACATGGAAGAAATGCCTAGACTGAGAGAGAACTTCAGGCAACATTTAGCAAAACAGTGCATTTCTCTCTCTCTCACAAAACTTGACTCCAGGCAGAAATTGGGCACTTTAATACTTAGGCTAGGAATAGTATGTATTAAGTTATATTTTTAGAAAATATGCCCTTGTCACAGACAGAAAGCTGTATACATTATTAGGGGATAAAAGTAACATGGGGCAAAAAACCCCCCAGAAGAATGAAGAATTTGAAACATGTTTTCCCTCTTCCTCCCTCCTCATACCCAAAGGAATATTATTTTCTTGAGACTACATTTTGGGAGTGGGAGATGGGTATATAAAAGTAATTATCATTTTATATAGCATTATGTACTTAGATTCCAGTAAAATATACCAGGAGTTATGCTCTCTCCTATGTCCTGTACCATCACTTCTCCACAGATGGGGAAACAGCAGGTGAAATAGCCCATTCCCCATGGGTGCCGGATAACAGAGCTTTTGCTGTAGTACATAAACTTGACTCAAAACTGATTATATAAAAGCAAAACATAATTTAAACAGCCAAGATACCCAGCCAAAAGTGCCTGTAGCCTATGTGCAGGAACTGGATTCCATGGATGTTTCATTTTGCATTAAACATTACTCTTCCTGGAAATGCACGGGCATAAATGAGAAAAATTTAGCTCAATGGAGCTGAATGCAAATTGTATCCTATGAATAGTCATTTGCTTCTTTATGGATCTCCGTAGCTCTGCTTAGTAGGTCAGGTATCCAGTCTGTTAAAAGCATTTACCCCAAGGGTTGTAATGGTTCCCTCAATAAATAATTTATGTTTTGAAGATGACCAGCAAAGATGGAAAGCAAAAAAATAAGCCCAAGGAATTAACCATAAAACACAGAGCAATCACTTAACTTGCTGGTTCAAGTTTAGTAAAGTCAGTACTGGAAGGTGGTCTTTTTATGATGAAGTGACTGCCTAGATTCAGTTACCATTGAACAAGACCACAAAAGGAATTATCATCGTTGTTGCTAAATGACATCATAGTCGGAAGCTTCAGCAAAGTCAAAGACTGAATAGAATAGACCAAGTTCTTCTTACCTACCTAAAGATGGTCCCTTTTGGCCAGGAATGAGAAACAATGCTGAGGTGATTTAGGGGAAGTTTACCCTTCTATCACCTATACCATGCTTGTTCTGTGAATAAATGCAAGGCATCTTTAGCCTCAAAACTAGTCAGGGTGATCATTTTTAGTACAAAATATATATTGCCGATATACCTTCAGGGGTAAGTTAAGAGGGGCATTTAACCTGCTTTCCAGGACAATGATTCTCAACCAGGGTGTTGTGACATCCTGGGATGCCATGAGATCCATTTAAGGGTGTTGTGGGATATAAATACCTATATGATTCACCAGGTAAACCCAGAGATTTCAAATATGTATCTACAGTGTCAAAGCCATTCTGGCTTGTTGTAGTCTAAGATCTTTGCAACAGAAGAACTACTTTATCATTTTTCCATGGTCAAGAAATTGAGTGAAAGCTAAGACCGAATACTTTCCAAGGGATGCCTTAAGTCTAAAAAGGTTAAGAAACACTGTTCTAGGAAAACCTATTATTTACGGTCTGTAATTGCCATAGTTGACCAGCTTCCTCTTCGATGTGATGGCCCAATATACACTGTGCTGTGATGTTGCAGATACAAAGTAACCATGCTGGAGAATGGAGTTAAGAAGTCTTTTCTGTATGATCTTGCCATCGATCTACCTACTCTACGATATAGAGTATATGCCAAATACAGCAATGTTTTAGAAAAAGAAGAAGGGACTTAACATGAGATTGTGTGGATCAGCTCCATGTTCCAGCTGGGTTTAGTGGTAACTGTGACATCTCAATATGTGCACATCAGGGAGTCACATCGGAGCAGGATGGTAGTTCTGGATGTGGTAGGACCTGAAAAAAAGAAAATATATTTTAAGGGAAATGTATTTAATGTCTTTTCTCATTGCAACATGGAAGCTTATCTGTGAATGATATCTGTTGCTTGTGCAGGTTCTCTCTAAAATGGAAGTTGATTACAGACAGAGTCATCACAGTGGACTAAAACTGTGTACCTTTCCCTCAAAAGTGCATGGAAGCAAGATCTGCGCTGAACTTTTTGTCGTTACTTCTTTTCGTACTTTGATGTGCTGAAGTTTCCCCTTGGCTCAGAAAATGGGTTAGTTATTGGTATTTGGAAGAAACCTTCCAAATAGGTACTAGATCATTCCTTGCTATTGGGAATGGTGCATTACAGGAGAATACTGTACACCCATGAAGAAAGAGAAGCACAGCAATCTCTCATTCAGGAAGAGTAGATTTTGTCCAAGGAGTTATACGGTTTTGCACTGGCCTTCACTCCATAAATGCAAATGGTACAAATGGTACAATTATGTCTGTAGAACTTTACTCTCACTTTTAATTGTTTTAGGCCTAATGTACATAAATGAATAAACAGTCATTTTAGCATGTTAGTGATACACATTTTAACATAAAGCCTTAGGTTGGGTAGGTTATCCTCCTTAAAAGTGTATCTAAATAGACTTACCTGAATTCAAGGCTTTACTCTCTACTGAGTGTCTAGGCATATAGGAACTTTCTCAAACAAAAATGAGTGGAATATCTTATTTCCTGATTGAAAGAAGAAAGAAAAATAGACCACAAAACTTTGGAAAGTAACATGGATTTAAACATGTAAGAACAAAACATTGAGAGAACAGGCTGAAAATCTATTCCAACATTTTGTCTTTAAACCATCTGCTATGCCAAGCAGTGCATGTCTCAGTTAAGTACAGTCTCAGATAAGTACATAATGTTTCATACAACATACTGTGGGCCAGATTCTCATTCTTTGGCAGCATAAATGGGATTTAGCGTCAGTGGGAACCAAGACCTATGCATCCTACAATATTTTGCCACAAAGCACTGGCCTTGGTGTCAGTTTAGGGCTTTTTTGGAAGGTGTTTGTTTATTTTGCTGTAGGTCTTAAAATTATTAATTTTAACGTATTTTCTATCATTGTAAGATAGAATGCTTGCTAAGCAGCAGTTTATACTCAGGCTACATGTCAACAGTGAATGGTAGTCTAAAATGTTTAGTGGGGTGAAACAGAGTTTATTGTAAAAACTGTTCAGTTATAGTATACAGTATTACAACAATGTGAACATTTCATTAATTTTTTCCATTAATGCCCAATTCTGAAAAATATGAAAAACAAAATCATTTAAAATGTATTAGACAATACTTTACATTTGTACTTAGACTTCCAATAAATAAATAAATAAATAGTTTGCAGATTAAGTAGCTTTATGTTTATAAATTCAAGCTGCTTCGCAATGTAGTCAAGAAATACTTCGAGCTATTTTTTCTGCTTATATTCAATCTTTCAAAATTAATAGTCAAGATGTAAATAGTGTGTTTCTATCCAAAATATAAAATTTGAGGGGATAAGTGTTTGTTAAAACCATTTACGAGATTATATAACACTGCATTTTATACACTAAATTTATAATTCCAGATCTTTCATACAGTTTTCTAGCATATATTTTGAAACACGTATCAAAACAATATATTTGATAAATAAATTAAGTTTTATTCCCCACAGATTTGTTCTGTTCTCAGTTCATTATAAGACCGCTCTTTTCCACTAATAGGATTCTGTATTGTTTTTCCTGATTTTAGGCAACCTCTTTCTACATTTGGATTAAATAAATTATAGGGGGTGGCTCAGACTCACTTCCACTGTGAAATTATCTGTAGCGTATTTTGGCATCTTGTTACTACAATAATACTTTATTCACAGCAAAAAAGAGAGAGATGAAGTTCTTTATATATTTTTCTGATTACAAAAATATTGTTCTTTAGCCCATTTTTAAAAGACTTTACAAGGGAATCAGGTCTTATGTTATCTCAGAAGATTGTTGATACCAAATGAAGATTAAGATCATTCAAATAGTTGTAGCTTTTGCCCAGACAAAAGTACAGACATTTTCAATAACATCTATTTCTATGAGGAAATTGATACAAACTTTCAGCATTAGATGCCAAATGTCAGGTCTGTAGTCGGATGCTGGTCAAAATTTATCACTCTCAAAAACAACTGTCAATCAAGTTTGCAAAGTGCCCAGTTCTGCCATTCCAACCTATTCTGTGGTCTTCTCATTGAGAACAGTAGCAAGGAATGAGAACAAACATGGCATTAAGTGCTAAACTATTGAGTAGAGGATCACCTGCTCACTTTTCAATGCTGGCATCTAGACATAATTTTGACTGCAATGGTGTGTTAAGCAGGAGTTTGCACAGAAAACTAGCTAGAAGCCTGTATATCTACATGTTTTAAAACCTGGGTTGCAATTCTTGCTTTAAGCCAGTTTGAGTTCTGGTGGGTCAGGATTTCACCAACAGGTTTCATGTATAATAATAATAATTTGTACATGCAATATACCTTCAGTGAGGATTCAATCATACATCGTGCTATTGAGAGACCAAATTCTTTCTATAATATTCAAAAGTAGAAGGTACAGAAATCAAATGACTGCATTCAAAATTAGATTACTGTATCACGATCTTAGCTTAAACAACTGTTAGGATGAATGGACTGAACCCCATATAAGTTTATTTCATTTTTTAAAAATCTGTGACTAGGTAAGGAAAAAGCTTTTCTGGGCAAGTAGGATTAATAAATAAAACAGTAACACTTTTAACGCTATTTTTCCCCTTAGGGGTTTACTTTGTTTTACTATATCTGACACCAATCAGAAAGACAAGATAAAATATTGCAAGCATAAAAAACATAAAAACTGAAATCTAAAGGTTTTTTTTACCCATTAAGATTTTTTTTTTCACTTACTTTGCTCAAGTTTTCCCTAGGCTCAGAAAATGAGTTTTTTTTTGTTTGTTTGTTTGCTTTTTGTTTTTTTTTTTTGTTTTTTACAAAAGCAAGCTTGGTAGATTTTCCCAAACACTCATGACAGTGTGGTGTCCTACTGTGTTAAAACCAGGTGGACTGTGCTTCTGTTTGCAAATCTTTTTCATTCACAAGCTTGTGTCTCCATTCTGTTTATATTCTGCTAAAATATTGAGAGTCATTTCCTCACTTTTTGATTGCACATTCAGTTCACTTCTTCTAGATGCTTTTCGAGTTGCCCTTGACAGCCTTCTTCTGAAGGTATCACCTGCCAAAAAGTAGAGAATAGGATCTACACAGCTGTTGAGACTAGCCAGACCTCTTGTCACTTGGTATGTGGCATAAACCTTGTCATTGAAGGCACACATTTGAGGAGTCTGAAAATCTAGCCTGGCTCTTAGATTCAAGGTCTTCATTACATGGAAGGGAAGATAAGATACAGCAAAGACTGTCAACACGATAATAACCAGGTAAATTGATTTTCTCCTAAGAGGAGAATTGTCCAAATCCTTGTAAATCAAAGCTTTCACTATTAGCCCATAGCAACCAAGAATCAATATGAATGGGATGCAGAACATGAACACAGTGGTGCACATACTGTAAATGAAGTAACTTCTCAGGTAATCGTCAGCAGTAGTGTCATAACATGTAATGGTTTTATTTCTCCTTAACCCAGTTCCAGAAAAGAAGAATATTGGAGAGATCACAGCCACAACAATGACCCAGACAAGGGTACTGATATAAACAGCATTCTTCTTTTTCAGCCGCCCCAGTGATTTCAAAGGATGCACCACTCCTGTGTATCTATGCACACTGATGCAAGTCAAAAAAAGAATACTGCCATAGAGGTTCACATGGAAGATGAACCTTTGCAGTTTGCACATGATATCTCCAAAGATCCAGTCAGTTTTATTAAAGTAATAAAAAATCAGGGCAGGGAGAGTCAGGACATACAAGAAGTCAGCTAATGCCAGGTTGAACATGTAAACTGAGATGCCACTCCAAGGCCTCATGTGGAAGACAAACATCCAGATTGCCACACTATTGCCCAGGAACCCGGTGATAAAGACTAGGATGTAGACGGTGGGCAGGTAATAGAACTGGAAGCCAGTTTTTGTGAGGGAACATTTGCTAGTGGCATTTCCCGGAGACCAAACACTGCTGGACAGCAAGTTGGCTTCAGTCCCATTCAAAACAGCTGAGAACAGGACTTCAGTCATGGTCTCTCTACTAAAGTCAGACAGGTCCAAGGGTGAAGCAGCAAGCGTCTCTGGGAGGACAAGAAAGCATCTAAAACAAAAAAGGCAAAGAAAGACCCAGTCGGAACTTGATATTGAATAAAAGCAAAAACAAAAATTATTCGTAGCTTAAGAATCCATGCCCACTTGTTTAGTGTTGCGCTTCCGTTATTCAATTATTTTTATCCTCTATCCAGCTTAGTTCAGTGCAGGGCATGAACTTCTTCTATTAAATATTCGAATCTGCCAACTGTCGCCCATTTGACATGACTCCGACATATACCCTCCTACCCCACGTTACAACGGCCTGCAGATTTTTGTCTTTTTCCCTGCCGCCGGGAGCTACCGTAGGACCAAGGTTGTGCAGAGCGCCAGGCTGACAATCCAGGTCCTCCCTCAAGGATCCCCTTGCTGGATCCTAGCAACAGGCTGCGATGAGGGAAAGAGAGAAGCAGCAGGTAAGCATCAGGCTGGCTGAAGGGAAGATGCTGGAATGGAAATTAGGGGCTGAAGGGGAGTAGAAACAGGGGAGGGAAGAGAAGCTGAAAGGAGCTTGGATTCAAGACGTGAAGACAACATGTTAGGGCCACAAGATGGACATATAGGAACAGGGGATGAATGGGAAGAGAGAGAATGGAGGTGGAATGGGGACAGAAGGGATTGGGAGTTTCAGAGGGAGGCTAATGGAGATACATGAGGGAAAGAATGGAGGCTAATGGCAGAGGCAGAACCAGATTTCCTGGTGCCTGGCCTCCCCCACCTGACAGCTATTCATATTGCCCCTTTCTGTAATATTTGAGCTCCTCCAAGGTTTCTTCCTCTCTCCCAAACATCTCCTTGGCCACTTACACCGCTCCTAGGTCTCTTTCCCCCTAAAACCCTTCTCAGACAACCTCTGGGGCGGCTGGGTCTCTGTTGGCCCCAGACTCCCCAGCCATGGCCGGGCACGAGGACCTGGCCCCCTCTGCTCCCCCTGCTCAGAGGTGACCTGCGCGGGGACTGAGCGACTTGCTTGGCAAGACGCCTGCCCGGTGGGCGCTGGAAGCGATGCAGAGACCTGCTCGGGGGAGCCCCTTTGAGCCGCGCCTCAAAATGAAGGCTGAGGGGCGGGGGCGTCAAGGCGGCCCGGGAGAGGGGAAAGCAACGTGGAAAGCGAGCAGACAGGCGGCGGCCGGGGCGAAGCGGCCGGGAAGGCGCTGCCGAGCGCCGGCCCCTCGAGCCCGGCCGGCGGG